TAACATTTTTTACAAAGTGGCTGGAACAGCCATGTGTGCACCCGGTTGTCAGATGAGGGGGAGAGGCACTGAGAACGCAGGACGCAGGCCCAGGCTTCCTGTCCCAGACGCTCTGTGGACAGGGAGGAGGGTGGGCACCGGGCCGCAGCTGTCCCCGCCTGCCTCTCTGCCTCTCTTCCTTCACGTCATCCTCGCAGCTGTAACTCCTGTCCTGAGGGGCCTTTTATGTAAAGCTAGCGAGGGCTGGCGAACGGTATTTGCATCTGAAGACAGCGGTGTCTTCTCTGATTAGGAGGAACATTTCTTCTAGTTACAGAAAAAGCACTATTTTCCCCCATTCAGATGTAATGATCACATGAGAAGTGCCTGGGACACAAAAGCGCCAGACCAAGAGCCATCTGTGCTTCCCTGGCGTCTCCAGTCACTCGGGCAAGGGGGGCGGTGGCTGAGCGCCTCTGCTGAAAGCAGCGAGCGCCGGACCAGAAACGGGGCGCCCACCAAAGCCCAGCCTGAGCGTCCTCGCAAGGGCCGGGAGTCCACCCTCGGAGGCCACTGGCTCCGGGGACAGGAGCAGTGGGGCCATGTCCTCGGGGTCTGGGTGTCTTCCGGCCCTTGTGCACGTCGGTGGCAGTAGTGCCGCTCTGGTGGGGGGCGGGGTGGGGGACGCGATTGGTGATTTTTGTTTTTCCTTTGTGCCTTCGGTGTCTAAGTTTTCTGCAGTGAGCACGCAGTAATTACTTCTGCAAGCAGTGGAAGATGTCTCCCCTGGCAGCAAAAGCAACGTGCTGAGAGCTGGGGTCCAGCCACGCAGGCACTGCCCGCCTCCCCTGGAAACCGCCTGCCGACCCCGGCCTCCGCCCTCCCGGCCGCCCTCGCCCTGGCCGGACAAAGAGGAGCCCTCCGTCTGTGGGCAGGCCCCTGAGCGTCCCTCTCAGTCGGTTCCCTGCCTCCAGGCCTTGCCCAGCCTCCTGCCCTGCACAGCCCCATCTGTCCGTCCACTCACGCGGTGAGGGCAGCGGTATACAGTCGATCTGTGCCCGCACCTCCGCTGCCTGCTGGCTCTGCTCACCTGGGAGACGCGCCCTCCTCTCTCTTTCCCGGAGCCTGCACCTGGGCAGGCTTTGCCTGAGGGTTATTTCCTCCCCCTGCCTCCCAGTTTCTAGAAGCGTGCCCAGCACTTGGCGGTGCTTGGGGTGCTTGTGAATGGCGCCGTACGGTCATCGGGCGTGCATTGGGGGTTCGTCCTCTGTGAGCACATCACGTATGTGTGTCACACGCCCCCTCAGGGTCCTGGGCTTCAGTGTGACTCAGGTGTTACCATGATCCGTACGCAGGTGGAGGGCAGGGGCCAGGTTCACATCCAGGACTGTCTTGGTTGCATCTCCTCAGTGTCCCCAACAGCCAGACTGTCCCTACCCCCGACCTCAGGACGCCTGACCCCCAGGGAAGCAACACTCCCGGCCCGGAGCCCTAGTCATCCGCCTGCCCGTGCCCTTGCGTGTGGCTCCATCGGGGATCCGGGTTGATCTGTGTGCCTGTATGCATCTGCGTGTTCTCTAAGAAGGTTACCCTCAGCGGGGAAGGGCTAAGGGTGGAAGTAGCAAGGCTGTTGCAGGAACCTGGCCGGATGTGCCGGCGGCCTCGCCCGGGAGGCAGGGGCGGAGCGGTCCCCTTTGCAACGTGTGGGTGGCTGGGATGTGGGTGACAGGAAGGAGTGTCACAGATGTCCCCAGTCTAAGCTGCCGGAAGGACGTGGTCCTTGTACGGAGATGGAGACCTCAGGGCACCGTGTTCTGAAGCCGATGACCCCGGAGGAAAGAAAGAATCTTCCTCTGTGGGACTTGGATGCTCCATCCTGCTTAGGAGGAGTCTTGCCCAAGGTTACCTTTGAGGCGGACTTACTATTCTCCGCTACTTTTGTAACAAATAGGCCTGGCGAGGCAATGGCTCAGCCACAGAGGACCCCTCTTTCTCTTAGGAGTAGACAGAGCAGGTGTTACGGATCGGTCTATTTACAGACCAAGCTATACTATTCTGATCACATGAAGCTTATGGCATTTTAATATCGAGTGCATCAAAAAGTCCTTATTAGCCTTTTCCAAAAATGTCATGGCAATTCTCACATACTTATTTCTCTCTATCAACTTTAATACCAATATGTCTAATAATTCTTCCGAATATCCATTTACATTTTTATTAGAATCTTACTAAACTTATTTATCATTTGAGGAAGATTTGATCTTTTGAAATGGGGCCGTCCCACCCAGGAACATAGTATGTGTCTCCAGTTATTCCAGTTTTGCCTTAACCTTCAGGAGAATATGTACATTTCTTTACCTTTCATATGAAATCGATCCCAGGGTATTCAACAGCTTTGTCATTAATGTGAATGTGCAGTGTTTTCACGATACAATTTCTAACTAGTTATAATTGCTGTAAAAAAAAAAATGGTATTGCTTTTTAGTGTGTTTTTAGCTTGAGTCCGGCCGCTTTCCTAATTGTCTTGAGATTTTCTAGTTGCAGACCCACACCTACACATAAGGATCAATCTTACTTTTTTCAACGTTTCTGTTAAAACCGTGTGTTTCACCATCGGTCTCGCTTGGCATGCTGGAGCCTGAGGGGGTGCAGACAGTGGAACCGAGGGCAGGCGTGCCTGTCTCGCTCCGTACGCTGGCGGAATCGCGTTCATGCTTCGCGCGGCTGCCGCCTGCAGCGCAGGCGCGCACTCGGGGAGGGCGTCGCCCAGGCATGGCCTTCTCCCTGCTGCGTCCTTGGCCCTGGCTACCCTCTCTTACCCTGTTTCGCCAGGAATGGCTGCTGGGTATCGGTAAATGCCTTTTTGCCATCTGTTGACCCGTGACCTTTGCTAATGTAAGGAACTGAAGGATTTGCTAATTCTTGAACATGCTTATACTTGGGATAAACTCTCGTTAAATTTCGTGTGCCTTTTTTAAACGTGCTAAATATTCCTAATGTTTTTAAATTTTTTAATGTCTTTGCATTACTGTCTATAACTTTGATTGGTTTATAGCTTCCCCTTCAAGGGTCCTCTTTATCATGTTTCCTGTTAGACAGTAGGGCAGCCTCCAAGGAACTGGAACACTAGGTGTCCCTTCCTGTGTCCTGGAGGAATTGGACTAATGTAAAAATGATCTTTTTTTCCAGAGAGATAGCTGGCCCTTAAGTCCTCTAGGCTTGACACTGCTTTAATGACGGGTGGTCAGTCTTTTAACACTTTAACAATTTCTTCTCTGTTGCCTGTCTACTCAGGCCTCTGTAGTTCTTAAGTTAAATTTAGTAACCCCTATTTTGCTAGAAAACTATTCAGCTTCCTCTGGAGTTTCTAGCACTCTCCCCGAAGCATGCCCATGCTGCTTAGATTTCTCCCTGTCTGTTGTCAGAACGCCAGGGTTCCCGGTTTGTGCGTTAACACCGTCAAACAGCACGTCCCCGCCTCGCCTGCCATGGGCTGTAGCCCCTCCTGGACGGGGCGGGTGGTGTGCTGGCCGAGGGGCATGTGGGGCCCCCCCACCGCCGTGTGCGTGGGAGGCGGGGCCTCGGCTCAGGCTCCGGACCCCGCCTTCCCGCGCTGGCCGCGCCCGCCCGCGTCCGCCCGCGCTCTGCCCGGCTCTGCCCGCCTGACGAGTGCGAGGGGGCCTGGAGCAGGACTCTGCCTCCCCTGCGCGTGGCTGTGGGGGTGTGTTGTCAACTGTTTGACACTGTAAGAGGCATCAATAATGTCACTTTTATTTCCTAGAATGAAAAAGAAAAGCATTTGTTTGCCCTGCCAGTGGCCCCAAGCGGCCCTATTTGAGGTCTCCCGTTGCCCTTGGGCGGTGCAGGATGTGGTGGGCTGCAGTGTGGATGGAAGCGTGTGTGTGCACGTTTTTGAGGACATTCCCGCCCTGTGTCCACTACGCCTTCCTAAAGCAGCATCATGCTCGGTCCCAGAGGAGGCCGACAGAACACGCAGATTGCTGTGGAATCTCTAGAGGTGAACCGTGACCGCATTTTATCACCAGCCGCGGGGACCAGATGTGGCAGCCTGGCAGGGGTCCGGCACGGTGCCGGACCACCGTAAGGGCAGAGGTCACGGCCAGCGGTGACGATGGGCTTCTTTGATGTGGGGGAACCCAGGCCATCTCAGAACACACCCAGGAGCGGGGTCAGGTGCCGTGTGCTGCCCCTGCTGGGCTCTCGCGGGGCCCGGCCTCCCCGCCACAGCCCCAGCCCAGCCCCACCCTCGCTTGAGGCTCTGACCTGCGGAGGCAGAGACACAGGTCAGCGCAGCAGGTGCCTGGAGGCCGGGGCTGTGCCTGCCCTGCCCACCCCAGTCCCCGTCTCCTTGCAGGAGGCTCAGGGCTCGGAGCTGCAGCCTCCCAAGCCCAACCCTGCCATGGAGCCCAGTCTCCACAGTGTCTGCGTCGCGGGCCAGGCCTCCCCCACGGCCAGGCACCCACGCCCAGGGGGCTAAGAACGCAGACTGCCCTCACCAGGATTAAATCCCCATGGGGCCAGCGAAGTTTCAGACATAGGGAACTCTCAGCCAAGGGTGGGCTGCAGCGCCGTGCGGTGCCAGCCACGCGCTTCCGGGTCGAGCTGCTATGAGCCGCTCATGGTGTCCGGACGTGAGCGCAGTCCGCAGGCGTGTCCCTGCTGAGCCCTCACCAGGCAGAGCAGGCGCCGACTGTGTGCACTACGTGAACCAGAAGCCTGGCTGAATGAGCACACAGATGAGTCGGAGCCCTGCCTCCCAGGTCCGGCTTGCTCAGCACGTGGCCCTGCCCAGCGGGGCTCACTATTGCTCCTTCTTTATGGCGGCTGAGTTCGGACCCGTGTTTGGATCCTGCTTAGACCTGCAGCAGGGCCACGCTGTCTCCTGGCTCACTGTCGTCCCTCAGCTGCGCCTCCCGGGACCTGCCCTGGGTGAGGGACCCAGAGCCAAGCGCTGATCTATTATTTACTAAGTGGATCCACTTTCCGTTCCCTCTGTCCAGACTGCCTCTGAGTGGGCTGAGAAAATGCCCAAGGGCCCGCCACTCAGGTCTCCCCAGGAAATGGCAAACCATGAGGTCCTGGCCCGGCTCCACAAGGCGGTGACTTCCCACTACCACGCCATCGCCCAGGACTTTGAGAACTTCGACACCTTGAAGACGAGCACCGTGTCCAGGGACGAGTTCAGGGCCGTTTGTACGCGCCACGTCCAGGTTCTAACGGACGAACAAGTAAGAGTGCGACCGGTTTAGCATCCTGAGCGCTGCCGCGTGAGCAGCAGGCCAGCCCTGTCCCATGGTGGAAAGGGTTTAAGACAGTCCTCTATTTAAAAAATACTTGAAGGGTTTTGGGGGGGGGGGGTAGGGAGCGGTGCTGTTTTGTTTCAGATTTTACTGAAGACTCCCAGGATCCTTCTGTTGATATGAAAGGTATGAACTGCATCATTTCAATCAGGGCGCAGAAAGTATCACTTTTATTTTTAAAGTCAAATAAAATTGGGCTCCAGCTGCCACTATCCTTCTCCCTCCTTCCCTGGAGCGTCCCTGAGCTTTTGTGATCCAAAGAGAAGCCAATCCCCGCTTCCCGCACCCAAGCAGGGACACGGAGCCTGCACGTGGCTCTGTCCCTCCCCAGCTCCCACCTGCTCTCCCTGGTTCTGCGGCCGGGGCTTGCTGGGGCTCCCAAGCTGCTGTCCCAGGGATGTTGGTGACATGCCCACCCCCACCTGTCCCCACTGTCCCCAGGCGAGAGAGTGCCACTCCCATCCTAACAAAGAGAAATGGCCAAATATCTACAAAGCCACAATTTGTTTTGAGCCTGACAGAGAGCTGAGGTTGCGGGGAAGCTGCTTTTCCTTCTCTGTGTCCCAGAGACAGAACCCGGCCCAGCCAGCACTCAGCATGTCCCTGTTAGTGGACAGGGTCCAGTGCAGGGTCCACATGCCCCACCCCATGCCTGCGAGCCCAGCATCACTGATCCAATCACAGGAGAGGATTTCCCTTCGCCCCAGAAAATGCCCTGCCACAGGCCTTGCCAGTTCCCAGATGCATCAGTGCACCATCCGCAGAGGATAATTCAGATGAGAAAATAAAATCCAAAATGCTCGGGAAAACAGCTCCGCTCCCTCCCTCCTCCTGGTTCTGCTCAGGCCCGGCCCAGCAGCTCCCTGCAGACCCGGGGTGGAAATGTCACTCTTTCTTCCAAGCTCAAGTCTCATTGGATGGAAGTGTTCATGGGGCGGGGCAAGCATCACATCCACCCTCACCCCTACCTAGGCCACTGGACTCACCACCCAAAGAGAACGAAATCGTTAAAGACACTAGTAGGATGAGCATCAGACTTACCTTTCCTAAAACATCACCCTTCTTAGGCATTATGATCGTTTTTGCTAAATAAAATGATGTTCCCAAATGATTCTGTCCCTTAGAGCACCAAACACTGCTGCGTTACGATAAGTGGATAGAAGCCTTTAAAATTAATACAGTCACATTTATTATTCTATGGGGCCAACTAATAAAGGTCTTACTAATAAAGGTTTTCCATTTAATCTAAATGAGTAAAATTTTACTCTAATTATAGATATAAATTAATGACATTCTTTCATATCTGGCGTTCAGGACAGAGCATTTTGATGCTAATTGTCCTCTAAGAAAGCTTCCCCATCCCCAGCACATCAAGCCCCCTCCCCCGACAACATCAAGCACTTATTTTTAAATTCTGCTTTCTAAAAATACACAGACACATCTCCGCGGCAGGGGGCGGCGCCGAGAGCCTCAGCCGCAGGGCTAAGGCGATTGCAGTGGGGTGGTGCTCACCAAGGGTGGCGCTGCGTTTGGGAAGGAGGCTGCCGGATACAGGCCGAGAACAGAAAGCCCAGGCCCAGCAGCCCCTCGGCCTCCCCTCGCATGGGCCGCTGAGCCCGCGGCCCTGCGGGCTGAACAGCACGGTGCTGGGGATACTGTCCCAAGCTCGCCCCCCCGCCCCGGGGCCTGGCACATGCCCCCTCGCTCCCTCACCCCTCGCAACCTCGTTTCCAGGACTTCAAACAGAGCTGGGCCTCATCCCTTTCCCTTTGCTTCAGGGAAATCTCAGCGGAGCCCAGAGCGACTTGGGGTTCTGGCCAAAGCTGGCTGCGTGGGAAGGACAGGGACAGTCCCGCCCTTTGCTGGGGCTCCGCTGGGCCTTAGGGCTATAAAAAGCCAATTGCAAGCAAGTGGCCATTCCTCTTGGGTCCCCGAAAGCCCTGGAGTCATCAGAAGTGGCTCGGTCAGGGCGCACCGGGGCCCTGTGCCATCTCTGTGCTGCACGTGGCTCTGACACGCCCGTGACATCGCACAGCGCGGGCGCGAAGCCACAGACCTCCCTCCAGCTCTCCGAATGCCTCCCTGCTCATCTCGTGAGGAGGCACGTGTGTCCTTAGGGTGAAATGAGTCGTGCGGGCCAGCACCGCGGCTGAGCCCCGGCTCACCCGGCGCGCGCTGTGGGCCACACTCGGGGCGCCTGCCCGAAGAGGAGGGGCGGGGCCCGCTGGGCTGCCCGGGGCGGGGCGGGCCCGGGGTTTGATTTGCATTGTCCCCTAAAATGTTCGCCTGCACTGCTGCTCAGTCACTGTGACTAATCACAAGATTTAATGGCCTTAAACTGCTCGCGAAGGGCCCGATTCAATTAAAAAATGTCCTGCGGAAGCCATGAATAATCCTCCTGTCTTTGCTTCCTCAGGCTGCCCGAGGCTTCCCGGGGCTTGCGCCCAAGGAGGCCGAATGGGTTTTTCTTTTTTAATTTGTTTTATTGCCGTGGGCTTCGGATCCCCGCCCACGTGCGCGCGGCCTCTGCGGCGCCGGGCGGGCCCTGCGTGGGCCCCGCGCTAACCCTCGCAAACCCTCTGCTTCTCCGCCAGTTCGACAGGCTGTGGAGCGGGATGCCAGCGGACGCCAAGGGCCGGCTGAAGTACCTGGACTTCCTGAGTAGGTTCAATTCGGAGAAAGCGGCGACCCCGCCGGGCACGAACGACTCGGCCCAGGCCCACAGAGGGAGCGACGGCCCCAGAGTCTCGGCAGTAAGCAGGTCTGGGGGGTCACTGCCCACCCGTGACCTGAAAGCAGGGACGATGCCGCGGAGCCAGCCCTCTGTGAGTTCTCCTCCCTGGGTGTCGCCGGCGCCTCGCTTCAGGCCCACAGTGCCCCTGGGCGGGGCGGCCTCCTGTGTTCCCACGGGGTGGGGGTGCTAAGGAGGTAGCACAGGGTGAGCCTTGGGTGGGGGCCGCAGGAGAGGAGCCCCTGGTGGGTCCTCAGCGTTCACCTCCCTGGGGAGGGGTGAGGAAAGGGTAGCATGGGGTGGGAAGGAGGCACGGCAGGTGGGAGGGGAGAGTGAGGAGGACCTGAGGCGGGAAAAGGGCGCAAGGCGAGGCAGGGGCTGCCGGCTTCATCAGCTGGAAGGCGAGCGCCTGAGCAGGTCCCCCTGTGGGCGGGGCTGCCTGCTGAGCGCCCGGGAAGGCTGACACCCCCATCCCATGGCGAGGCGCTAAGAGGTGCCCTCACGTGCCCTGGGCCCCTCAGTTAGACAGGCCCGATTTCAAGCCCCAGCCTGTGTCTCACTGCACGGCCCTGGCCCCTGGGGGGAGGGGCCGCCTCACCGAGGCGCCCGCTGCAGCAGCAAGGATGCCAGAGCGCCCTTGGAGGGCGGTGGAGAGGGTCCCAGCCACACGCATAACACGCTTCGTGCCCAGTGAGCACGCCGAGACGGAGTTACCATTTTCCGTTCATCGGCACGCACTTTCGGCCGGGTCTCCCTGGAGCTGAGAGTGAGCGGGGCCCCTGCCCGCGTGGGGCCCGCTGGCCCGCGGAGGGCGACAGGCCGGGGCCCGTGAGCATAGTGAGTACCGAGCAAGTTAAAGACGGTGAGTTGGGCGGCAGGGGGCGGCAGGAGCGCCACGAAACATCCATGTCCCAGTCACCAGGACTGGAAGGTCCCCTTACATGGCAACAGGGAGTCACGGCGGCAGGTGGAAGGGAAGTCGCGCGCCAGCTGGTTTAAGACAGGACCGTCCGGTACAGCCGGTGAGCCCGAGGCAGGTGCAGGGCCCGCAAGCAGGGCACGCAGGGGTGGGAGGGCCCTGTCCGGGAGATGTGGCCCGAGACATCGCGGGCTCAGCGGCGGGGTGCAGAGCCACAGCCACGGAGCGTGGGCCCAGAGGCCGCACGGGCGGGGGATGGACTCTCCCTCCAGTGTCCGGAGCAGTGTGCCCTGCCAACGTTGGCTCTCAGGAAGGTTCATTCGTGGCCTCTGACCCCAGAACTGCAAGAAAGCCAAGTGGGTTGTTGTAAGCCACCAAGTCCACGGACCTGTCAGAGCAGCCTCGGCAAACACATGCGGGCCTGGGGCTCTCCCTCCGAGCCAGAGCCGACAGGATTGAGGGGGCAGAAGGGGAGCCCAGGGAAAGGCTGCGTTTTTGTTGTGGACTGAGATGGGGCGGCATAGGTGGCCCAGGGTTTGGCAGAGAGCCCAGGAATTCAGCCAAGCTTGTCACCATGTTGGACAACGGGTGTCACGGAGGAGTTCAGGGAGCGCCTGGGCTGGACTCGACTCCTTCCCTGTTTCTGACGGAGAACACAACACAGGAGCAGCCCGCCCTGGCCCGCAGCCTCCCAGGGCGCCCCCCCCCCCCCGCCCCGCCCCGTGGCTGAGTGTGGGCGCGGACATCCCATGCGAGTCACAAGCAACTCCCTTTCTTTGATGAGATGCTTCCGCTGGTGAAAAATATGTCACTGTCAATTCACATACACACCAGTGACATATTGAATTAGCATCTCTCTATATCTGATTCTTGGCTACACACTTATTTCCAGAACTACCTTAGTTAGTACAGTTCGGCACAAAGCCAGCCCAGCGACGGAAGTAAAAGTGGCAGCGTTGCCCTCTACGTTTTGCTTTTTGCTTTTCACGCTATTTCTGAGCGATGCTGCCTGTGAAATCACGGACTTCAGAACCTGAGTCATACCTGTGAGTTGCCACTATTCCTTCCATGTCAAACCTTCAGTTAAAGGCAGTTTCTCTCCGTCCCGCCAGACAGCCGCCAGCACGGGCACAGTGATGGGCACCCCGCCCCTGCAAAACTGCGAGCCCGTGGAGCGCAGGCTGCGGAGGACCATCCAGGGCTGCTGGCGGGAGTTCCTGAAGGAGTGCAAGGAGCGGGATGCGCACAGGCGAGGGGCCGTCACCGCGGCCGAGTTCCTGGGTGCGTTCAGGTTCTGGTCCCTGTCCTCAGGTGCCAGAGCACAGCCTCCTGGCGCAAGGCCAGTCCCTTGGAACGCCACGGGGAGCATCCGGTGGTGATGGCAGGCTGGGCACCTTGACAAACTCTGGTGTCAAGGGACAAGGCCCCGTAACCCCTCACCCCCTGCTGAGCAGCCACACCCGCGTGGCGGCTTTCAGCGCCTGCGAGCACAGGCTTGGCTGCGGTCTCCGGGCGGCGTGTAAATGTGGACAGCCTGGCAGTGAGGGGAGGGGACACACAGGCCCGCCCACCACACAGCTCACCTGGGCTTCCTCTGTGTCAATTTGATAAACTCTTCCAGTTACACCAGTTGGATTTGTCTGTCCACTGACTGTCGCATGTTGTTTATGCGGCACTTCAATTCCAGGGAAATGAGCCCGACCCTGTCGCTCCTCTACCTGCGGCGCCCTTAGCTCCCTCTTCATGACGAACATATCTAGACCCCTTTTTTAGGAGAATGTTTTTCTGGGGAGCCTCTCATATTAATATGTTACTTTTATGATATCCATGCCTTAAAGGTACACACATGAAACAAGGTATAAACCCCTTTAGTGAAAAGTTCCTACTCCAAAACACATGAATTAAATATAAAAATATGAAATCAGTTACAGTCAAAAGTTGTTACGTTGATTTGATGCCAGATGATTCGCTGGTTTTCACGCATGTTTGAGCCCCACTTGCTTTTTAGTTCATTCTTCTCGTTCGAGCAGACGGTCCTCGCCTGGGTGCTGGCCTCCCCACGGTGGCTGTTTTCTCTGTTTAACCACAGACTCACTCAAGCCGTCAGTCCATTGTCCGGCAGGCATGTTTGACTTCAGCAGCACATTCTAGTGCAGTGCTGTAAAGAAAACTATTAATTTTCAAAAGTCCTCCTGTGCTCCGTGCACTGCTGACGGCCTGTGCAGGCCGGAGCGTCGCAGGCACACGCTGGACAGCCCCCTGCGTTGCCTCCCGCTGCGTCCTCTCCGCAGGGCGAAGGAGCCTCCGCTGTGCACGCACGGCCGCGGTGCTCAGCCTGCGCTCGGTCTGAGGGCGCCATCCCTGCCCAGTCCGCTCGCGCTGGTTTTCCTCATTAGCCCCAATCATTGACATAGTGTTCTGCTCCTTGACACTTGGACGCCTTCATGATGCCAAATGGAAGTCGCAGCGTGTTCCCCTTAAACTAAAACCTGATGCTACCTGCGTCTGTTTCAACTCTGAGTTGTCACTGCAGCGGCAGCTCGGGCTTTGTGACTGGTGTAAGGGTCGAGAGTGAGAGCCAGAGTGGAGCGGGGCTGGCGTTGGTGTCCTGCCACCAGCCGGGCTGGGAGGGCCACCGACGTGGCATCAGCGTGGCTCTGACCAAAAAGCCAGACTCAAACCCCAACCTTGCAGGCCGCTTGTCTCTCAAGGGCGATCCCAATGTGTCAGAATAGGATTTATACATTTCAGGTCGTCATTGGCCTGAAAACTCAAAACGTGTCCATTTGTACGGCCCCACAGACTCTCGAGGGCCCCCCTCCAAAGCCCGGTTGAGAAATACGTGGTCAAAGGGCTCAGTCTGAACTCCAGGCCCACACGCAGCCCCGGGCGGCCCCGCCCCATCCCCCAGGCCCGGCCCTGACTTACGCATCCTTCACTCTGGCGGATCCCTGCCTGGGGACCCCCCTCCCCAACTCCACTCGCCCTGCCCACTCTTTGGTCATAGGTCATGCAGCACATCACCCACACCGCTGGGACCACAGCAAGGGGACTGTGCAAAACCAGGGCAGCAGGCAAACGCCGGGACGGTGGGGCGGCCGGAGGCAGGTCCCCTCGCTCCTTACTGCACTGCGCGCGCGTCTGCTTCCACATCTGTCCGGCCCCTGACCCTGAGCCTGCAAAGAAAAGCGTTACACAGAGAAGGCGCCCCCGCACGTGATGAGGGAATGGACGCGCGAACGGGCGCGTAGACACGCTGCCACCCGCTGAACGGAGGTTTCTGTCTTTAGCTCTTGTGGAGAAATTCAACCTGGACATCAGTGAAGAGGAGTGTCAGCAGCTCGTCACGAAGTACGACCTGAAAGGCGACGGGAGCTTTGCGTACTGCGACTTCATCCAGAGCTGCGTCCTCCTGCTGAAAGCGAAGGAGACCTCGCTCATGCAGCGGATGAAGATCCAGAATGCCCACAAAATGGTACGGAAATTGTTCCTGGGAAACGTTTGGGGCTGGGTGAAAAGGGGCTCGGGTTTTTCTCAGCCCACTTCATACAAAAGGTGGATACCGAGTCACTAGGTGGGGCCGCTGACCAGGGAGGACCACACCTATCAGATGTCCCCAGCCTCCCTGCCACCTCCCCATGGACCCCCACTCGGATTTCCTCTATGCACATGCATTTGTGTATCATGCTTGTGATACATGTGTGTACACCTGTGTGTCACATGATGTAAACAGGTTTGCACACATGTGTGATCTATGTGTATGCACACATGATGTGTGTCCATGCACTTGGGAAACGATCCTTTGCTGCCCCTTTTCCTCCGGTACTTACAGGCCTGTCCAGCCCCAGGCAGTGTCCAGGTGAGCACATGACCACTGGGGTCTGGCCAGTGGGCCCCCAGCCAACCCCCGGCCCGCCGGGGAGCCTGCATCCGGGCGCGGGGAGCCGTGGTCTCCGCCAGGCTTTGGGAGCATTGCCAACAGCTCAAAGCGTACTCTCCTGGCAATGATGCAAAGACTGAGAACCAATCGCCTGAGTCCCAGGTTCTCAAACTCAAGGTGGTGGCAGACACCTGACTGTCACGGTTCTTCCTAGAGTCCCCAGAAACATCTGTATGGTAAGCAGGGACAAGCCAGCTGCTTACACGATGCACCGGTGAGCAGTGATCGGCTGGTCAACTGAAAAGGCAAAGCTGGGGTGGGGAATGGGGTCACAGGCAAGTGACACGTTTTAAACTTAAACATAAGGCTTATCCATGCGCCAACCACCTGAGACAGGCCAGGGGCGGCTCCTGCGTGCGGTGCTGGGTTGGAGACTCCTTCTCTTTCTTGCATAAACAACACCCACGCAATTTTCTCTTTGTTTCTTGGAAGAGGGATTAGAACCTAACGATGCTTAAATAACAACTGGAGGACACATCCTTTGGCTTTTTAGCTTTTTTCCTCAATCATTTGTCATTGCGATTTTCACTGTCAGCCAGTTCAACCACTGCTTTCACGGACTCACCTTTTTGAGTTTTTCCAAAACGTGAAGCAAAAAAAAAAAAAAAGGCTTTTTCATGCTCATATTCCATCACCTGTCACATTGAATTAAGGTACGTTGAGTTAAACGGCAAGTACAACTGCTGTTGTGGGTTTGGGAACCAAACACAGCTGCTCCCACCGTAGGACTCAGGGGCCGGAGGTGAGGGGCAGCCCCACCTGCCTCCCCCGCCCCTCCCGCGTCCCCACCGGTCCCGCCACGCGCCCAGCACCAGCAGAGTGAGGGGCAGCCCTGCAGGCAGCATATTGCACACAGAGAGTTCCTGCGCAGCCGCGACATCGATCGCTTTGTGCAAAATCAAGGACCGTCTTAGCGCAGTTTCTAGTTTAGACGAGCAGGAGCTAGTGTCCAAGGGCCAGGCTGAGTTAAGGCAGAAAAGCTTCAGAAAGTCCTTTCTCTGCTCAGTTTTCTGTGGGCTCAGGGAAGAGCGTCCTCATGGGGCCTAGGAACTACCAGCTCTGGCCTTCCTCCGCCTCTCTGGGCCTCAGTTTCCCCTGCTGTAACTGACGGGGAGGCCTGCTGGCTTCTAGGAGCCTTCAAGGGGCGGCCGGGCAGGGAGAGCACCCCGGTGCCCTGCTCAGAGCCCGCCCGGGCGGAGGCTGCCCCGCTTCCAGGCCCGCTGCTCATCCGCACAGCAGTGCGGGGTGCGGAAAGGCTGGCCCACGGTGGGGGAGCAGAGGTGCCCACTGAGGTTGCGTTCACCGGAAGTGATGGGTGCTCCCGGACGCCCTGCTAGGAGCCGGGACCCCTCCGGTGTGCTCCTGTCCCCTCACCCAGACCTGCCTGCAGTGGCAATCCATGGCACTTTAGAATAGTCCGTCATCCGCTGCCCTTCCTAGCCGGGCATGGCTGACAGGCAGTGCCGCGTCCCCTCCCCCAGGCCCCTGCCTGTCCTCCCAGTCCCTTCCCTGCGCACAGGCATGGAGGCTCGGGCCAGCCGTCTCCCTGCAGAGAAGCTGACAGGGCCGTTTCTTTGGTCCTCGGGGGCTTTCTCCGCAGCCTTCAGCAGCGGAGACGCCCTGGGCGCCGCAACGGGGAGCTGCCTTCTCTGGCAGGGGCGGGCGAGGCGGAGGCCTCTGGTTGGGTAGGTGGCACCAGCTGGGACGGGAAATCCCTCTCAGGCCAGGCGGGGTGCAAGAGAGCAAGGGGCACGGGGCCTTCTGTTGCCGGGGGAAGCGGAGCTCTCATAGGCCCGCACCCGGGAGATGGCGGTGGGGCAGACTGATTCGGGTGGAAATGGAGGGCTGCCCGGTGCCCCATCTCTGTCCACCTGTGGAAATAGTCAGGCCGTGTCTGTATCGAGGTTAAGACGAAGGCCAGTGCTCAGTTTCCGTTTCGTTTGAAATTTGGGTTCCCCTGGAGCCCACAGACGGCCCTAAGCATCTCAGTCCCCGTCCAGGGTTTTATTATCTGGGGCTCGGGACAGGCCAGGAGCTTTTCAAAAACAACCAACCAACTTCCCCAGCCACTGTGACTTGTACTGCGCCTGCGCTGTTCCCCTCCCCCATCTGGGCGAGTGGATCAGGGAGACAGGAAAGCCGGTCCTTCCTGTATGGGATAGAAAGGGGTGCTAATCCCCTTTGTGGGGCGACTCTGCCATCCCCTGGAGTGTGTGAAGCTGTAGCTTCCTGGCTCTGTGAGCTCACGGCCCGTGGTTGATGACGCTCAACAACGTCTGATTCCCTTTGCTTCCTTCCTTTATTAATAACTAGCTAACCACCTACAGCAACACTCCGTGTCCTGCACACGCGGGCCCACTGACCAGGTACCTGCTGAGTGCCCGTCATAGGTGCTAAATGGTGTAAAATTGAAAGCAGTGTAACTTCGTACTAATTTGTTTACATAGCACCACTTTAAAATGAAACTTTCCCAGAACGTGTTACGCGTTGCTGCCTGCAGCTCACCCCTTTGCTGCTCGGGCTCGCGCCGGGGCTGAGCACGCTCAGCTGTCTTGTCTTCAATCTCATAGACCCCAAGTGAAATAATCACAGGGCCGTGCACTGTCTAATTGCTAGATACAGTTACAACCTTGTGATTTTTTTTTAAAACTGTCTTATTGTAGTAACCTACTAGGAGACACAACCCAAAAACTCCTTTTTCCTCAGGCTCTGTAGAAGTTGGGCGGACATCTGCCGGGCCCTCCCTCGGGGCCAGGGAGGAAGGGGGGGGGCGGCTGACAGCTATGGGAGGCAGGCAGAGTCCGGACCCGGACGACCCCTCCCTGTTGCCTCTCCCAGCCTCCACTTCCTGTCCGTGAAATGGGGATGAAGAGACCAGGTTGGGGGAGGGAGGTAGAAATGAAATGGTGATTTTTCCAGCAGCCCATGCACAGGCTTGTGATGAGCAGCAGGGACGGCGTGCACCGCAGCCACGGAGAGCTCTGCTCCACGCGAGCAGGGCCCAGCCGGTGGGGTGGGGCCGAGAGTGCCAACGAGGACGAGGCCGGTCCACTGCATCCTTCGCCTTCAAAATCTCCTTTCTCACCCCCTGTTGGCTGTTGTTTTTCCAGAAAGAAGCTGGTGCTGAGACTTCCTCCTTTTACTGCGCATTGCTGCGCATTCAGCCCAAAATTTTGCATTGCTGGCGGCCGATGCGACGCACTTTCAAAGCCTACGATGCGGGTGGCACGGGGCTTGTCGGTGTGGCTGATTTCCGGAAGGTGAGCCCAGCGCCTGTGTGGCTGCTGCCTCTGAGCAGGAATCAAGTGCCCGATGCCAGTGGCCAGGAAACCGCAGGTGGGGACCCTGGCCCCCACCGAAGGCCTCCACCGAAGGGACCCACAGATTCTCAAGGGGGCAGTGCGCTTCCCCTCACGTGCAGACCTGGGGCCTCCTTCCCGAGGGTCTCTGGACCCCTGTGGGGACACCCCTCTGTGCCCGCACCACAGTCCAGCTGCAGCGGCGCCTGGGCCCCATGTCCCGCCTTCCCCGGCCTCCGTGGGGACCCAGGGCCTGCGTCTGCCTCGCAGGACCCACAGAACAGACACTGAGGTACTGGAGCGGGTCCCCGCTATGGCCATTCAGGGGCTCGCAGGCGCGGCCCTGCCTCGCGGGAACCCCGGGACCCCCCGCTGCCCTCCCGGCGGCAGGGCCGGCTCAGCAGCTGTTCTCTGTGGAGTCGGAATTCTGGTGCCTTTAATGCCCCCACGAGAGAGGACACGTCTCAGAGGGGAACACGGGCTGCAGGGAGCGCCTCCTGGGAGGAGGTGGCTACGACCACACCGCCCCTCCAGGGGGACCTCGCTCGGGCTGGAAGCTTTCTCCTGGCAGGGCCTTTGCTCTGTTTCTCCAGAGGAAACAGGCACTGCCACGGGCGACTTAAAGCCCCACTTGTAGAAGCACGCAGAACACCTGGAACTGCCCCCCCCCCCCGCCAGGTCCGGAACACGAGATTGAAAATCACGTGTCACCGCCAGAAAAAAACTCAGTCAAGACATCAAAGACCCACAGCTTTATGACCTGAGAATGCACTTATAAAAAATGTATTTCCCGGGGTTATCTCTACTTCAACCCAAAATTTGAAACTTTTTCTTATTTAATAATAACCCGGGAAGCCTGACCTTGGTTGGTGGGGGGGGCTGACCCACGAGGGGCCTGCCCCCTCCCGCCCTGGAGCGCAGCAGGGACCCAAGCCTGGCCCCTGCTCTCGGGGCCCGCCGCGCTTTCCAGGTCGCGCGGTTTGTACTTCGGGGTCCAGTGAAGCCCTCAGCCAGCCGCTCCCCTCCGTCTCCAGGCCGAGGTGGGGGGGAGGAGGGGCGGTGTGGAGGCTGCTGGGCGCCGCTTAGCACGTGATCCTCGTTGTCGCGCACCAGGTGCCGCTCTGTCAGGGTTTGTTTCAGCTGCACCCATCAGGGGGGAAATAGCAGCAGCTGAAACACGGTGGGCGTGTATTTCTCTCTTCTAAAACAAGTCCGGAGGTCGGAGTCCAGAGCTGGGTGGTGGCAGGACAGTCACTGGGGCGTCCCTGTTTTTGCTTCGCCATCCTCTGTGCCTGCCTTTCTCCCTCGAGGTTGTCTTGGGAGAGAGGGGGTGGGGAGGAAACGTGGGGGGGCGGGGAGAGGGAGGGAGTGAGGGAGAGAAGGAGAGAGGGAGGAGATGGGGGGGAGAGAAGGTGGGGGGAGAGAAGGTAGGGGAAGAAAAGGAGAGGGGGCGGCGCTGGAGGTGAGGCGTTGGCTGGGAAGGGGCACTGGCTGGGAAGGGGCACGTGTCCTGCCCCGCCCTGGCCACCGGCCTCCTCCAGGGCCGCCCAAACAAGCCCCGCCCCCTCCTCCCTGCCCTGCAGGTCCTGAGACAGTACAGCATCAACCTGTCGGAGGAGGAGTTCTTCCACATTCTGGAATATTATGACAAGACACTGTCTTCAAAAATCTCCTACAACGACTTCCTCCGGGCCTTCCTCCAGTAGGGCCCACGCGGTGTGCCCGGCGTGGGCAGACGGAGACGGCAGGGCCTGTCCCCAAGACTGACAGAATCCCACGGCCCGGGAGGCCTCACGGACGACCCCCCGGAGCGCCTCCGGACACGAAGCCCGGCCCTGCCGCGCCAGCGCCTTCCCGGGCTCAGCCGGCGCTGCGCCGCGCCTGCCCCAGCCTCAGGGACGGCCTCCCGGGCAGCCTGACATCGCCCCTGAGCCTCAGGACCCCCTCCCTCCTTTGTCTGAGCAATAAAAATGTTAGCCTTTGCCGAAGTGATTCTTGAGACTTCAAAAGAACCACCAGTGCTGAGATACTTAAAAACTCGGAGTTTCTGGAGGTTTCATTCGTCAGGACCTGCTGGGCGCCTGGCGGGGGGAAGCTGAGGATCCCCGCCTCCCGCCCAGGTCCCCAGTGCCGCCTCATCCTCCATGAGACCTGTGCCCCTGCCGGGCCAGCGGGCGGCACCCGGCAGAGGCGGGGCCAGGGCCAGGGGCAGCGCCCCCTCCCAGGCCGCGCTGCCCTCCCCCTTCCCGTTGGGCCCTGGGTCCCGTCAGGTGTTAAGAATGAAGACCCGCTGCAGAGATGGAGATGGCCTTTGGCGCTCAGCAGCAGGCACAGCGCAATCAAGGAAAGGATGGGGGCGTTTGCAGAAAACGTGTACACAAGGCAGAGAGAGAGGGGAAAATCCTATAGCGACATGTCCTTCAAAAATGAGAAATGATTTTATAGACTCAGAAAACGTGAAGATAACATGAATAGAGATATAGTCTTAAAACAGAAAAAAAAAATAAAGGAAAATGAACAGAGCCTCAGAGGCCTGTGAGGTAAAACAGGGCGTACTAACTAACACGTGCACACACAACGGGGATCCCAGAAGCAGAGAGAGAAAAATGTCCCAAACTTGCAGAAAAACACGAAGCCACGTGCCCAAGAAGTCCAGTGAAATCGCAGGAGGGTGAACTCTCAGCCCCGCCCGGACCTTCATTCGAACGTACGATCGTCCCAAGAGATGCGGGAAAGGCACTTGACAAGATTCAGCATCGGTTCACAAGAAAAACTTCCAACAAACTGGGAAGAGAAAGGAACTTCCTTAACTGAATAAAAGCTATTTACAAAAAGCCACGGGCCCCGGCCGGGTGGCTCCGTTGGTTGGAGTGTTGGCCTGTGCACCCGAAGGTTGCGCATTCGATCCCTGGTCGGGGCTCACAGGGGAAGCAACTGATCGAGGTTTCTCTCTCACATCAGTGTTTCTCCCTCCCCTTTTCTCACTCTCTTTCTCCCTTCCTTTCTCTCGGGTCAATAACTATGTCCTCCAGTGAGGATTAAAAGGAACACAAGCAAAACCTAAGCATCGTAGTGACCGGTGAGAGCAGACGCTGCCCCCCCCCCCCGAGATGGGGAGCCGTGCGCGTGCGCCCCCACCGCTGGCATTCAGCGGCGCTGACAGTCCTCGCTGGTGCAGTACGGAAGGGGAAAACGGAAAAGTAAAAATGGGAAGGAACAAATAAAACTGCCCCTATTTGCAGGTGAGGTAGGTGGCCATCTACGTAGGAAATTCCAAAGAACCCACCAAAAAAAGCTCACCAAGCGTGAGTTACAAAGCCAATCTGTAAAAGTTAACACAGGCCTACGTGCCCATGGGGAACGGCTGGGATGTGGTTTGAAAAACCGTTCTTTATAATATCCCCTCTCCCCAGTGAAGTGCTTAGGTACAAATCGAACAAAATGTGTGCAGAATCTGTATGAAAAACGCAAGCATGAATGAAAGAAGTCAGCCCTGGCTGGTGCGGCTCCTTGGATTGAGTGCCAGCCTGTGAAGCAAAGGGTTGCTGGTTCGATTCCCCGTCAGGGCACATGCCTGGGGTGCGGGCCAGGTCCCCAGAAGGGGGCACAAGAGAGGCAACCACAAGTTCATTTTTCCTTCTTTTCCCCTCCCTTCTCCTCTAAAAATAAAATCTTAAAAAAAAGAAAAAAAGTTAAATATGTGGAGAGTCATGGTTTTCATGGATTGTGAGACAATGTTTTTAAAATATTCCTTTTGATTTGTAGATTCTATGCAATCCTGACAAAATCTCAGCAAGATTTATGCATGTCAAGTTAGTTTTAAAATGTACGTGGAAAAGTAAAGGATCTAGAATAGCCGAAACAACTTTGAAAAAGAACAAAATCCGAGAATTCACACTACCTGGTTTCAAGATTTACCCATAAAGTTACAATAATCAATAGAGTATATTGGCAAAAGAAAACAAAGGACTATATAGGTCAATGGAAAAAAAATAGCCCAGCCCTGGCCAGTGTGGCTTGGTTGGTTGAAGCGTCATCCTGTGCACTGCAAGGTTGGGGGTTCAATTCCCAGTAGGGCACAAACCTAGGCTGCGTGCTTGATACCCAGTTGGGGCAGATATGGGAGGAACTGATTAATGTTTTTCTCTCACATCTGTGTGTCTCCCTTTCTCTCTCAAATCAATAATGTATCCTCGAGTGAAGTTTTAAAAAAAATAGAGAAATATAGTCACACAAATATGTATCGTCAACTGATTTTAGACAAATGTGCAAAGGCATTTCAATGGAGAAATAGTGTTCACATGCAAACCGTGAGACTTGACATGTACCCTCACAGCTTACACAAAGGTGAACCCAAAATGCATCGTAGACCTGAATGTAAAATATAAAACTAACGCTTCTCCAGAAAATCACCAGAGAGACCCGCCTGACCTTGGGCTTGGCAATGAGAGATTGGGTTCTGCACCAAAACCACAGTGCATGGAAGAGATCGATAAACTAACTGCACTTCCTCAAAATTAAAAACTTTCTCTGAGAAGCTTTTTTAAAAAAAGAAGAGAAAAGACAACCCACAGAGTGGAAGAAAAGATTTGCAAATTGCACACTCAAGCAAGGCCTGCATCCAGGGTATAAGGAGCCATAAAACTCAAAAGCAAACAACCTCATTTTTAAGGAAAGAGACAAAAGGTCTGAATGGACGCTTCACAAAAAAGTGTATGTGAATGGCAGATACACGTATAGAAAGAGGCTCGGTGTCACTAGCCATCAGGGAAACAGAAATTAAAACCACAGCAAGACACGCAACAACACCTGCTCAGCGACCGGGCTGGAGATTTGGAAGCGGACAAAATTGATGGGGGCGCGAGCCGCCAGAACTCACCCGCTGCAGAACTCACCCGCTGCCGGTGGGGTTGCAGACACCACGTCGGAAAACCGTGTGCTTAGAAGGGAGCCCAGCGAGGGAGTTTCTCTGGAGGTTGGAAGATTCTCCTTGTAACTCACGACCCCAGGCTGGTATATCGAACGAACCCCACTGGAAGGGCGCTCTCCAAAGTTCTCAACCACTGTTCCTCAACACCGTCCAAGTCGCGAAAATCAAGGGAAGACTGAGAAACCGTCCCAGACCGCGGAGCCCATGGAGACATGACGGCAAAATGCCACGGAGAGCCATGGACGGTGTCCTGGAACAGAGGGAGGGCGAGCCTCAGAAACCGCCGAAATCGAGTAAGGGGTACAGCTTCACACAGGTTCACCCATGTTAGTTTTGGTTGATAACTGTGCTGTGGTTATATTAGCATTAGGGAGACTGGGTACAAGGTACAGAGGAACTCCGTGCTATCTTTACAACTCTCTATAAATCAAAAATTATTTCAAAATAAAAAGTTTTTTTTTTTAATGGGAATATCATTTCCTGTTGTTCAGGGCCCAGCCAGGTCCTTCCTCCAGGAAGCTTTCCCTGATCTCCCCTGCACACTGGGTTCGCTCTTCCTCAGGACCCCCAAGCCTGACCCCGCCAGCCACTCGGCCCCAAGCATGTAAGACCGGAAAGGATTCAGCTTCTCTGGAATCAGAGGAGCCTTCCAAAGTCCCGTCCCCGCCAAGCGTCCGGAGAGCAGGGCCCGCCTCCGGCGTTTTGCAGGGCTTCCTGATCTCGGCCTGCAAGGAGGGGGGCTCCCTGTGGAGGCCTTCCGGGACGAGCCCCCGCCCAAGCTGGCCGGGCAGGTGTGGGTCCGGCTGGGGGCTACGGGCCTTCTGGGACACAGCGCATGTCACCCCCACTAGCCTATTCAGAGGGCTGGTTTCTTCTGGAAGAAAAAGCCTGGGAAGCTGTCCCCCTGGAGGTTTGAGGATCAGGTCCACGGAAGCCAAACTGCAGGAAAGAGCCGTTGGGGGCGGGGCTCCCTGAGGGTGAACTCGCCACAGGGCAGAGGGACAGGGCGGGGAGGCGGCTGGCCAGAGGCGTCCACTGGGCTGCCCCGGGCCACGGGAGGCCTCCCTGGGACCCCTCCTGCACCGTCGTCCCCTCGAGCCTTGGGGACACCCGGGGAGAGATGGCCGCGTGACGGGTGTGTGAACCCAGAGGGCTGAACCAGCAGAGCCCAGGCGCCGGGCGCCTCCTCACCCCCACCTTCACCAGGTGCAGACCCTGGGCGAACCAGAGCCCGTCTACACCGAGGGCTGCGGGAGCGGGGGCCAGGCAGCAGCCGCGTGTCCGCAGAGCCTCAGGCCCCTGGAGCTCTCCAGCGGCCCTGCAACACCACAGCGCTACCTGAGGCAGCGGCCGCCACGGAGGGTCCCCGCTCCGGCGCACACTGGCCGAGCAGCAGCCCAGGTGCCTCCGTCTGGCAGCTCCTCCTCGTGGCCGCGGGGCTGGGGAGCTGAGGCCCAGGACGGGGTGTTGTAGGCCCAGCGAGGCCTTGGGGGAGGGGCTCTTTGGGGGAGGGGCAGCCTGACAGGGGCGGGTCATGAAGAGGCTGCCCCCATCGTGGTCACCCAGAGCGGGTCCTCCTGCCCGCGGGAGGCTCCCCCACTGCGCCCCCAGGCTTCGAGTATGACCCTTGACCGCAAGGCTCCAGAGGGGCTCCTCCTCCTCCTCCAGGCCCCTGGACCCCCTTGGCGCTGGACCCTGTCCCTGCACAGCCGAAGGGCGCCTTCAGCTCAGGGACCCAAACAGAACACCCGTCCTCCTCAAACCCGTTCCTCCTGCTCTCGTGCTCCGCCTCCGCGACCGGCAGCCAGCGTCCCTCCGTCCCTCCCTTGCGTCCTAGGCTCTCCCTCACCCTCATCCCCACGCCCAGTCCTCTCGGTCCCAAACCTGTCGCCGGCACCGCTGCCGCCTCCCTGGTCCAAGCCAGGCCCACGGGCGGCGCTCAGTGAGTGCGTGTAGAGCGGATGCGGGGCTGGTGGCTGGGTGAGGCGATGGGTGGGCGGGCGGGTGGATGTATTGAAGAATCGATGGACGGTTGAAAATGGCAGAATTTTTGCAGCTCCGGGAGCTGTGAGCCTGGAGTCACTATACTTGCGGGTGCTTCCCCTGGGCAACACCAGAGCCCCTAGTTTGACAAGGGCTGGGTCGAGCACGCTGCTTCCAGGAAGAACCCAGAGCGAAGGCACCCCGGAGCCACTCTGTTTTGGGAACTCAGGCCACCAAGGTGTCTGAGCACAACAGGACGCAGAACTGCCCAGGCCGACCCTCTCGGAGGTCCCGTGGGGTCTCCAGCTCCGGGGAAGCTGGAGCGAGCAGGAGGGTGCCGGTCGCCGACACATGGAAGTAGGGTCTTTGGCCTCAGGAATCTGTCCAGGACCCGGGACTCCACTGGGAGGACACTGCCCCCCGCCCTCCCTCGTGCCCCACACGACGCACAGACATACACAGAGGAGACGCCACGTGGCCTTCTCTTTCTTTTTACAAAGACTTTATTGTCTGACATGCTTGACAAAAAAAAAAAAAAATTACAGCCACAATCAAGTTATGCCAAAATGATTGAAGAGCACGCCATCAGCTTTCATACCTCAAGGACTTTTAATGAATTTTTTTTAAAGTAACAGCTGCCTTCATAACTTTTCTTTTCCACATAAAAATACACCATATTCTGAAGATACGTTAGGAAAAATTTTTTTAAAGTGTATAGATCTTGGTCCACATAGAAAGTCAGTAGAGGCGACTGAAAGGGCCTTGTTGCCTCCACCCTGCGCGTGCGCACGTCATGCGTCTGGGCCCCCCTCCCAGGACCCTGTAAACAGCCCCAGCGACCAGGGACCCCTCAGGCCAAGCAGAATTCCCAAGGCCCTCACCCCGCAGCACGAAGCTGGCCTGCGCCAACGCGGGGCTGCTGCAGGCTCCCGGAGGGCGACTGGGTCCCACGGGGACCTCGCTGGACCAGGGGAGGGGTCACAGTCCTTGGGGTGCAAGGACGCTGGGCTCAGAGAACAGGATCTTTCAACGAGGGACAAACCAGACAGGTTCTGAACAGGGCCCTTCATTAAAAAAAAAAAAAAAAAAAAGCCTTGGATCACGTGTTGCCTTGTGGGGGCGGGGCTTTGGGTGGTGGTAAAGCAGGGGCTGAGAAGCCGGAGACCGGGGTTCAAACCCAGCCTCTGCCCCCCTGATCTTCAGCTCTTTCTATCTGAAACGGGGCAGCAGTCCCCCCTTGCAGGACCGGCCGAGGATAGAGCCAGACGGTAACTGCAAAGGGCGTGTTAAATGCTGGTTCCCAGGCCAGGCTAGGGTGAGGCGAATAGGGAGGGCCCTCCTCTCAGGAGCTCAATTTAAGGTGGGGACCAAAAAACCCAGAAGAGACAATACATGACACTACTTTAATGTCATATTTTTAAAAATAAAAACGGATGCAAAAAAAAAGAAACCCATGATGAACAAAACAGTCCAATTCTACACGCAGACAGATTCCGGCCCTGCACATGCCTGTCCTGCCTCCCGTGCCTCACCTGCATTGGGCCCTGCTGGGCGCCCCCCACGGGTGCAGCCCCAGTCCCCACCCCCACCCCCACCCCGTTCTGATTTTAAAAAGCAGCAGCGGCCCCGCCATGTGGGGCTGCTGGAGCCCAGGGCCCGCTCTGTCACTGTGCCGTTAAAGGGCCAACTGGTGCCGGGACAACGAGGACCAGGACCCACTCGGCCATCCTCCACCGGGGGCAGGCCGGGCAGAATCCAAACGCCGTGAGGGAAACCCCACCGAGGGATGGAACCTGTGCGAGGACGGTGATGAGAGGCACGGGATCCTCTTGTTGAATTAAAAGGGGCGTGTGCGCACGCATGCGTGCGTGTGCATGTGCGCATGCGTGTGTGGTGCACGCCCACGTGGGCACATACACGTGGCAGGGCTGCCTCGGCCTGGTGGCCCTCCACGCTGTTGATTTCTGCTGAGCAGCGCACCCCTCCTGGGGCCGGGGGCCGTCCCCGACGTAGGAGCCCTCCAGCTGGTCCTGGCACTCAACTGACCCGTGCGCTAGAGCCGACCCCCCGAATCGCCTGGGCTGCGGGCGGGCGCCTGGGAAGCACGGGCATTGTCCAAGTCAGCAGAGACGCCCACAGGAAGGAGGCAAGGAAACGGCACGGGGCAGCAGCGAGCAGGCCTGGCCCGGTGCAGCCGAATTCCTGAGATGCCCCGACGACGCTCCCTCAGAGGGCCTGGGCAGAGGGGAGGGCTGCCTGCACCCGACTGTGAAGCCTCCCCCCGCCCGGGCCCTGGGGCCGGCAGCCGCACAGACCCTCGGTGAGAGGGGGACTTTGTGCAAGAACTTCCAAACCCTGTCCAAGAGCCACAGTTTCCCAAACCCACGAAGGCGTCCGACGGCGAGGCGTGAAGGCTCGGCCATTTCCCGAGCACACGGGGCCGTGGGCTGGGCAGGTCCTCTAACGAGGTACACACAGAAGGTACACACAGAAAACAGTAACGAGCACAGGACCCCAACAGGGACCCGCAGCGTCCCGGCTCCAGGTGACACAAGTCAGGGGTGGGAGTCTTCATTGCAAGGCCTCAACGCACCCGCTGGGCGGGCCCCTGTGGCCAGGCGAGCTGTCCGCAGGGGGGGAGGGGCCGGGGGCCCGCGCACTCGGCCAGGCGTGTGTGGCCTGCGGCCGGGCGGGCTGCAGGGGCGGTCAGGAGTTCCGGGGCGTCGGCAGGTCGATGACAATGGGCGGGTTCACGGGCTGGTAGTTCACGGTGCATACGGACGCGTTCACGTAGGTGGTCGTCCCGTCCGCCATGACGCCGTACCCTGGAGAGGGAGCACACACCTGTCGGGCTGAGGGGTAAGGCCAGGACCGGGAGCAAGGGAGGGGCCCGGAGGGGGTAGGAGCCCAGGGGCACTCGGCCACATGGGCCGGATGCATCTGGGGCAGGTTCCGGAAACTCGCCACTTAGCTTCCTGCCCATAAATAGAGATTATAATGACAGATGCTCCTCCCGAGGCTGCGGTGAGGACTGAGTGAGATAATAATCCACATACAGCGTTTGGCTCAGTGCCTAGAAAGCCCCCCATGAAATACCATCATCTCCACCATCGCCATCAGCACCATCCCTCCCACCACCGCCCATACCACCGGCAGTATCACCATCATCACCGACACCAGTGGGCCACTTCCCTCCAGCGTAGAGATCAGGGAGGAGGTGACAGGTTAAAAGGAGCTGAGATGGCCCCTCTAAAGGGTCAGTGAGAAGCCCCAGCAGCTGTGGTCTCCCTCCCCGACCCCATGCGCTGACCTTCGTGGATGTGGCCGAAGACGTGCAGCCGCGGCTGGACACGCCGCTGCACCGTGTTGAGCAGCTCCACGCAGCCCACCCGCTGCATCTTCTTGGGGACCCAGTCCAGGAAGCCTGTGCGGGGCGGACAGCAGGGCAGTGAGCCCGGCCCCGAGCCCCACAGACCCCGGGCGGCAGCCCACAGAAGCTGGGGGTTCTGGACTCCCGGGCCTGAGAGTAGCTCCCCCCACACCCCGCCTCCCGCACGCTCTTCCTCGCCAGGCCCCGCCTCAGCCTCGCCCTCCCCCTCCCCCAGCCACGCAGAGCCACGCAGAGCCACGCTTCCAAAAGCCCAGAGTGGGCCAGGCACGTGGGGTGGGGTCGCTGGATAACATGAGCCCCCCGCCATTCACACTTGAAGCAATTGCAAGGGGGCAACCGCCTATCGCAGAGAGAGCGAACCAAGGCTCCGGGGGCAGGGGGCAGGCCTGGGGGCGTCCGGTGGCCAGCGGCAGAGGGGAACCCGGGGCAAGACCTGCATGTCGAAAACTTTCTAAAGAAACATCGCGAAGTCGTGAAACTAGACTCCGCTCAGCGCAGTGTGGCCCCGGGCTGCCTCCGGGGCGGCCCACAGCAGCGCCTGTCGTCCGCGCGGCTCCACTGGCCAAGAATAACTGACCGCTCTGGGCCAGTGCCCAGGGCCCTCTCGGCCCCTCTCTGCTTGGTGTTGGGGGGCACAACGGGTCTTTACAACTGCTGGGCGGGGCGGGGGTCCCTGGACTGAAAGAATCAGGCAGAGCAAGAGGGGAGGAAAGAGACAGGGAGGTAGAGAGAGGATGAAAAGGAGGAGGAGGAGGAGGAGGAGGAGGGAAGGGGAGGAAGGAGAGAAGAGACCGGGGGCAGGCGGGCGGGCGGGGCGCGGGCCTGGGGCAGGTGCCCGGCTTGAGTCTGAGGTCTGCTCCATACTGGCTGTGTAGCCTTGGATAAGTCGTGTAACCTGTCTGTGCCTTGGTCTCATTCAACGGTGCATCCAGCAGCTGGGCCGGGCACGCAGGCACCTGAGAACAGGAGCTGTGGGGGCCCACAGCCCCTCCCACCTGGGGCGCCCTCCCCTGCCTTCTGCCGCCTCCCCGAGACCCCACTCCGTGGTCCCCTCTTCTGTAAGCTCCCTAGGCCTCCTCTGGCACCGTTGTCTCTGCTTCTACTCTTGAGCTTCCCTTGCCCACTGGGCTTGGCCTCCCCGGGCCCCTCTACCCGGTGGCCTGGTGGCCTGCGAGCCCCGGAGGCCAGCTCTGCGTTGGGGGACCCCTGCCCAGCAGCGCCCCGCGCCTCCCGGCCCTGCGCCCCAGCGGAGTGGTGGCAGGTTCGGCAGAGGCCGTGGTGGGAGAAGGAGGTGGTCTGGGCTGAACTGCGGGGAGTTCGACCTCCATTGTGAGGAATGAGGGGGCACAGAGGGCTACAGAGGGTAGCATGGCGTAGCTGAGAATCTGGGGATCTCCCTCCTGCTGCTGTGAGGAGGGTGGGGTGGAAGGGGCAGGACACGGGCCGTGACGGGGTTGCCAGAGAGACGGGAGACGCTGGCCTGGACCTCAGCGAGGACAGCGCTGGTGAGAGGGGAGGAAGCGCCGGGTCGCCCACCGTTCGGAGGTGGAGCAGAGAGGTTGGGGTGGGGTCCACAGGCCGGGGCCCTGTTGGGATGCGTGAGGGGAGGCCCCCAGGTGTCTGACAGGCAGGGGGCAGGGGGCGGGGCCTGTGGGAGCGGCCCTGCCGGTGCTGAGCGCCCAGGACTCAGGGCCCGAGGCGGCAGGTCTCGCTCCCAGCTCAGGAGATTAGGGAGCCAATGGGTCAGCTCGTCCCTGATGCCCCAGCAAACTGGGCTCAGACCCAGGGCCCAGGGCGGACCGGGGTCCCCCTCACCCCCACCCGCAGCGTCCTCCCTCAGGGACAGCCCGGGCTGAGGCAGGGCTGGGAGGAGGCGGAGGCGGGCTGGGTGGGGGGAGGCGGGCCGGGGCCGCGGAGGCTCCCAGGGGCTAGGGCAGTGGCTGGCTCTTACCCAGCGGGGGTCCGTGGGTTATCAGGACGTCCACGCCTTCAGGAATGAGGTTCCACTTCTCCAGCAGTGCTTGTCCTCGCGGGAGGTTAAAGCCCCAGCCGTAAAACCAGGGCTGCCTGTGGAGATGAGCAGGGGTCGGAGGGGCTGGCGAGCGGGAGGGGCTCCACAGGACGCAGGCGGGCAGGGCACGGGGCCCCGAGCGGCCATCCGGGCCGGCTGGAAGCCTAGGAGCCCCGATCAGGGTGGCGGTGGGGTGCGCCTGGACTTGGCGAGAGGGGGGGCTGTGGGCATCGCCAGCCTCCTCCTCCCTTCCCCCTCTTGCTTACCTGCGGTTTCTCTTTTTCTGTGATGAACGAGTATTATTTATGCAATAAAAAATGAAGTTTAAAAAATCAGCTTTTCCAAAGACCTTTCTTGCTCCAAGCCCCTCTAAGGACATCCACAGAGAACACCCCGTCCACAGCTGAGCGGGTTCCAGGGGGAGGACCCTCATTCCTGCTTCCAGCCGCAGCCCCGCCGGGGGTCCGGGTAGGGCTGCTGCCCGGCCAGGACCCAGACGGATCAACGGATCAACGCACGTCGTTCCCCTCGACTGGTTCAACGGAGAACACGCGGCCTCCATCCCTCTCGATAGAGGACGTCCCAGACATTTCACTCACTCTCACGAGAAGAGGGCGAGTCCTCCTCCGTATAAACCAGGACGGCCCAGGAGAGCCAGTCGGGTCCGCCTGCGCCGGACCCCGACCCAGCGCTGAACTTCTCGGTTGTGGGCCCGTGGAGCGCCATTAGAATTGGGTTCCATTCACCGCGAACGCATCCCAAGAGTCCCTGCGGCTTACATCGTGGGGAGCGCCCGCACTGCCGCCCCCGGGAGGGTGCGCGTGCTGGGGGCGGGGGGTGCGAACGCTGTGACACCTAGAAACTCCACCCAAATGGGCCACTTAGCACAGGGTCACCAGCACCAGCACCGCGACCACCACCATCGGCATGAACGCGTCCTAGAACCCGCCCGTGAAGCCGGGACGAGGAACCCCGGGCCTCGGGGGTTTCCAAACTGCATTTTGATGGGTCGTAATAGCATTTTTTAAAGGTAAAAGCAAAAGAAAGAATAGCACACATCAGGGTTCACCGCAGCAGAGGAGGGACGCTTCAGTGAAGTATCCTTCTGTTTAAAGAGATGCCCACACCTGCGTGACTGAGTCACAACGTCTACTGCCTTCCTCCCTGGTTCCGGGTCAGAAACAGCCGACAGGCCCGCTCCGTCCTGACAGGCGGGGCGCGGGCTCTGCCCTTTCCGATGCCCCATCCCTGGGCACACGCCAGGGCGTGGCTGCAGGGCAGGCGGCTGCCACCCGAGGCCGCTCTTCAGGCCGTGCCAGGGCGGCCTCCCTGGGGCCCACAGCCCCGCCAGCCTGGGCGAGAAGGAGCAGCGTGTTGCCGGCACAGCCTTCCGAGCACAGGACCCATTTTTCAAAAATCTAATCAAATATTTACTAGTCAGCGCAAGGCCTCATCGGTACGGAGAGAAGGCATCTATCGGTTCCTGGAGCCACAGCAAGGGGCGGCTTTTTGAAAGACACGCTTGGAAACGTATGAGAGGCCACCCGGAGGCCCAGGAGCCCAGTCACGGCTGAGTCCTCACCCGCCGAGCCCCACGCTGATGAGTCTTCCTCTGGGCGGACAGCGCCCCCCTGCATGCCCCCCCTGGGTCGTGCAAACATATCACCTCAAATCCTGGGAAGCTGGCACCCTGCCTGCCCCCAGGGATGCCCTGAGAGGTCACCCCACTTCCCAGCATCACACAGCAGGCCCTGGGCCGAGCCATGGAGAAGCAGGGCCGAGCCGGCCGGGGTTCGGGACCGCTACCCGGGCCCCCGCGCCCTCTCCCTCCCACTTCTCCCCCCGCCCATCTTCAAGGCCATCGGATGCACAGGCCTTGCAGCCGCATCTGGGGTCGCAGGGGACAGGGCAGGGGCAGAGATCACCCTGGGAGTGTCAGGTCCGGGAAAGGGGGCTGCCTTGTTCCCTCCGATGGGTGGAAAGGACACTGAAGTTGACATCAGACCTCCTGGTTCTGCCCCCAGGCTGGTCACTTCGCCTCTCCCAGCCTGTGTCAAATGGGACAGTGACACCTATGTCCCCAACCTTACCCCATGAGGGCAGGGAGCGTCCTTGCTCGGTGCCGTGCCCCTGCCTGACAAGGGGGCGGAGGCGGGGTGAGAGGGTAGCACTGGGAGAGCGCCTTCCTCACACCAGCTCTGTCACCAGGAAAAGGTGAAGGTCTGGCTTTCCCTGGAATGTGGGGGAGCCGGCAGGTCCAATCCTGCCCGAAAAGTGCAGAGCAGACACCGCCCAGGACGGCGGCTGGCGGGGGAGCGCCCTCCCCGGGCCGGGGGCCCTTCCCAAGGGCGGCCCAGGGCACCGCCCAAAGAGGGGGACCAGAGAAGTGGGAGAGGCAGACTGGACGCCTCAGGGTGACATCGCGAGGTCAGGAAAAGCCTCCAGTCCCCCTGTACGATGCCCCTCTACCCAGGTTCCTGCAGGGGGAGGGGGACACAGGATGGCGCCCTTCCTGCCCCAAGTCAGCGCCAGCGCCCGCCCTCCCAGGGCTCTGCGTTCGCCACTCCGCCCTCAGCCCGCGAGGTCCTTTGGGGCCAGAGGTTCGAGCGCAAGGCTGCCGGGTTCCAGGCTGGGGTCACAGGGCCCGTCCTGCAAGCAGCGGGACCCAGCCTGCCCCCCACCGTCCCCACCCGCCTTGGGGCCACCACGGTCTGAGACCCACGAACACCCCAGCGCCAGGTGCCGCAGGAGTGGGGGTCCCATGGCCGCGGCCGCCCGGCGCCCGGCCCGGCCCGACTGCCCGAGGGCCCGGGGCCTGCAGCCCCCGGGGAGGCCGGATGAATCAGAATTCCGACCGAGCGATGGAGGCGGCTTTATGTCCTGAATTTCTGTCTTTCTGTTCTAAAGTAACCATTGGAATAATTTTCTTACAGAATGATAGTTGCCATGACAACCAGAGCAAATTTTCCTTTTCTGAAACAGATGTCTCATTTAGTTGAAAATTAGAATGTGAACAAACCCATGAGAAAAATTAATTCAAACTTTAACAGAGCGCTGAATACAATGTAATCTCTCAGAGGTTAACTAACCCTTCACAGTTTTTTGTGCACCGACGGTAACCTTCCAATCCAGTCTAATTAAGCCCGCTTAGCCAATACAAATGACCTCCCGGTGGCCGATCGTTAACCGGCTGCCCCCTGAAGCGGGGATTCCGGGCTCCCTGACGCAGAGGCTGGGCGGTGCTGTCTACAGAAAATGGCTGGAGCGCAGCGCCTGCTCTGCCTGTCTCCCCAGGTACGGCGCACACACCTGGGCAAGGGGACGAACCCAGAGGTCCTTCGGTTACCCTGGGGTACAGCCACCCCATTTCTCGGGGGCAGGGATGTGGGGGTGGAGCAGGCCTAGGGTGCCTCCCTGGTGGGGCAGGCCATCCCCTGGCGGGGGTCTGATGGCCAGAGAGGGGAGCAGAGGGGAGGGTTTCTCTCTGGCCATCAGAGAGACCCCTGCGACCCCAGATGCGGCTGCAAGGCCTGTGCATCCACGGGGCACCCAGGGATGCCTGCACACGCAAGCCGCCACCCTCACACCTGCCCCAGGGAGGGAACCGCCGCCTCCGCCCCATTTTATAAGGCAGAGTCTGAGGTACAGAGATGCGCTTGCCCAGGGTCACCTGGTGACCAAGGATCGTAGCCCAGGCTCGACCCCAGACAGCAGACTCCAGAGCCTGTGCCCTCGGCTTCCACCGCAGGGTCGTGGAAGTAAGACCGGCAACCCTGCCTCGCCTTCCTCGGCAAACCTGCCGTTACCAGCCCGCGTGCCACCTCAGCCCCGTCAGCTCTCAGGACAAAGCTGTAGGAAGGTCCCGTTCAAGAGTCGAGGACATGGTGACACAGAGAAGTCAAGCAATGTGTCTGAGGACACACAGGAGGCAAGAGGGACCTGGGTCAGCATCCTGGCTCCTGCCCCCTGGGCCCCATGGTCAGCCACACGAAGAGGACCCAACCCGGGTGGGGTGGCCAGGCCTCGGCGGCGGCGACCGCCAGCCTGAGCAGCTCCTGACGGTCCCCACCAGGTCCCAGCACAGCTTCTGGCCTGCTGGGCCCCTGGGTCCTGGCAGGAGGGGGCGGGGCAGCCCGCCCCCTGGGCTCTCCCTGCCTCGCATCTGTTGCCCATGTAACTCCTTTACTCCAGAACCTTCTGTGGCTCCCTGCTGCCACGCCCTTTGGGCCACCTTGCTCAGATTTCCTGCTGAGTTCACCCCCATACCCCGTCCAATACCACAACCCACCTGATCCCTGCACACAGCGCGGCCCATCCGATCCCCACCTCTGGTGACCGTGCGTGGTGTTCCAGCCGTCTGAGACGCCCCTCCCAGCCTCTCCTCAGAGCCTGCCACTGGTTTTTTGATAAGGCCTGGCCCAAGGGCCACCGCCTCCAGGAAGCTTCCCCTGATTACTGCCATTCCCCAAGCACAGGTAACCCTCATTCTGAGCGCCCTTTGGCAGGCTCCTTCCGGGCAGGCCCAGGTCAAATCACTCCGGCCCAGCAGGTGGGGCCTCACAGAGCTTCAGCGAGGGGTTTCTTCAAGGATGGCACGAATGAATGAAGAAAGACGAAATGCACCCACAGCGGCTCGACCTGGCAGGCGGCGGGAACGGAGCATCAGGCCTGTTGCTCCGCACCATCCCCAGGGTCCCTGGGCATCACAACGCCCAGAGATTTGCAGCAAGACAAGAACCGAGGCCTCAGGCCACCTGCTGAGCATCCCGCCCTCCCCCTCCCCCAACCTGCCAGGTGGAATCGTGCACCCGTTTCACAGGCAAGAGGCCTCGGAGGCGAAGCCAGGCCTGGACGCCCACACCCTCTGCCCCATCCCAACTGCCCTCCCCGGCAGCCCGTTCCCTAGGACGGCCTGGGGCGCTGAGAGCCGAGCTCCCTGTCTGCCCGCAGCTGCCCACGGCCCGTGAAGGGCCTTTGGGGGAAGACGGGGTGGACTTTGCAGTGGGCCTGCTGTGGACCAGAGGTTCCCGCTTCCGCCTCTCCTTCTTGGGCTGAA